CCCAAACATTTGCATTAGTGTGTTGTTAAAACTGAATCCAAATTTACTTTATAAAAAGTGTCACCACATTTGTTTTAAAGTATAATCTCACGAGAAGGAAACGGAAAACTCAGCTTTAAAACAATAAACTGGGCTTAGGGTCAAACAAATGTTAGAACAACTAAAACTTGTGGCTAAGCTAAAGCAAAGACTGTGTAAAAGGAATCCAAGATGTTAATACTTGAAAAAAAACTTCTGATCTAAGAAATCTGTGAAATTAACACAATAAAAAGCAACTCCAAGTTTTACCATTGACTTTGTGTGCTTTGTTTCAGGTTTCTCTTTCATTGATGTTAAGTATCTCTACATCAAACTTGCTAACTCATACCATAGATGCATATTGAAAACTGCAGGTAATCCCCCCGAAGTAAACCTACAGTTGCAAACACCTTATAACTGTGACTCATGCATTGTTCCCCTTAACCTGCCAACCTCTTGCTACAAATGTTGAATTGGTTCATTTTCTCCACACTTAAATCACGATCCATCAAAATCCACCAAAGTACTGAACAGTTGATCATATAGAGACTCTTAAAAACATAATATGCAAACACATACCATGTCTTAATCACTTCCTTTTCAATTTTCACAAAATATAGATGCATTTTACATTTCCAAAGTGTTGTCCAGCCCGCTGGACACTTTGACGACTGAATGGTGAGCAAGAGAAAACAAAGAAAAACTGGAATTGAAATTGTCAGCATCTTTTGGATTAGTGCTGTTTTGGGACACTCTACATGCTAAATGAGCCTCATTGGTCCACTCTTTGCCTTCATATTCTACACTCATTACATTACTCAAGAAAAGTTCCCGAAATCTTATCAGATCAGATCTTGGGCCAAATTACGAATGACACTAAAAGCTCCAAGGTCGAAGCCAGAGATGGTCAGCAAACCCCGGTCTTCTGTGTCTCCGATGGAAATTCCAATGTTAGTCAGGTCACACATCACCAGCTTCGAATTAGCTCCTGATGTCTGTTGAGAATATACACAAACCATGTTTATTGTAAAAATGTTACGTTTGTCATCGTTTCTTAGTACATATTTTAAGTAACCTTTTAGATAAAGGAGTTTAAAGGAGAACTTATAATGCTGTAAAATTAACTGTGCCCTGTCAGCCATCTATGGAACATCCCGTTAATCTTAGCTTGGTATTGTATATGTTCAAAAACAACCTCTACCACACAAGGCCATTATTTAATTCAACTCCAGATGTGAAAAAACAAACATACTTCTCTGTGCTTCTTCAGAGACTCCACCGGGCTGGCAGTAAGCATCCACAGTGGGTTGTTGCTCAAAGTGACGAACACATCTACAGCTTTCCTGTTCTCTGTGGCCCATTGAATGGGAACGCTGCAGTCTCTGCTCTCACTCTGAAACTGCAACATAAAGGCACTACCTGATGGCTGTGCACCCCTTTCTCTCGTGCTCTATGTGAGAGGACAATAAACAGGTGGTAGATGAACTAACCAGCACTGCTTTGCAGTACTTTGATGTGAATGTGGAAGAAGAAGAAAAAACTGCCTCTAGTTGCTCGTCTGCAACAAATATTGTATTGTATATTCCTGAAAGGAACTGGTCAGTCACTCGTATTATCTCTTCACCTTTAATGTTCTGTAAAGCCTTACCTTAGCCAGTTCATCGGTTGCTTCTTTGAGAGTCATATCAGCAGAAATAGAGAATGGTACCATAGCCTCTTCAGAATAGACAAGCACATGTGTGTCAGCCTCCGTCCTTGCAAAAATCTGTGTCAAAGCCAAGGTCAAAAGAAAGCCATTTAGTTACCCTGACTAAAATGCCTTTATCCTGCATGCACATTCACACACAGTACACCACTGTTAGGGCCTATGCGTTAACATACTGAGAAAGGCATTTTCAGGGAATTCACAGTATGCGTCAACAGTCCCACGCCATCACCTGGGATCTTTCTAAAGATGGGGCAGCCTGAGCCCTGTTTGAAGATGCAGCTGTTCCAACTAACCAGATAGCATCATCTGGCTGTAGTACAGTCTTACCATGGCAATAGCAGCTGCAGCAGCAGCAGTGCTGATCGACGTTCCTGGGACAATGCTGTTCGGTGACCCGCTCATATCTACTGCCACAACAAAGCATTTACCCACAGGCTCCACATTCTGAGGACAGAGTCACAGCAGAACAGGACATTCATGTTAAACAACTGCTGCTGACATCTTCTGCAATGACTGGAGAAAGTTTTGAAAATTACAACAACATACCATAAAGCTCTTGTAAAAGGCAGAGTCCATAGCTTTAAGGATGTTGCGGTCTGCTTCCCATTTCGGTTTACCCTGATAGCCCTGGCCTTTTTTGTAGTTTTCTGTAGCCAAAAGTATACTGAAAGGGTGGATCTTTGCCTGGTGATTTTAGGAGACATTTAATTCCTAAATATTGACCTCTGCATAATTAAAAACAAAATAACATTTCTGGTAGAAGTTGTGAGCCTTACCTGTTTTAGTGCCGTCTCACTTTGAATTCTGTCACATAAAAACTGTGTGTCTGAGCTTCCCAGTTCAAGAACTGTCAGCCTACCTAACATCTTTACCACCGAATGGAGAGGCATTTCCTTCAACAAAGCGCTCCATACCTGCAGAAAACAACCACCACACATCCTGTTAGATGTAGAAAAATACATTTTCACATTCTTTACATTAGGCTTCAGGCTACCTGAACATTGCAGTTTTACAGATAAGAAATGTTTTGATTTTTTCCCCCTCCAGGGAACACTTTTACGCAGTGAGCAGGAACTTACAAGGGGCTCACCCCAACCCCCAAAAACGGGAAAAAAGTCCTAGCAGTTCAGGAAGTGAGATAGTAAAGATCATTTATGGTATTTAATGTTTAGGTAGTAAACAAGAAAGCAGTTACTTTTTAAACCAGGGATGTTTAACTTATTTTATATCAGGGGCCAGATAAACAGAACTTTAATCTTAAGTGGGCCAGACCTAGGAAAGTCCCCTTTCTTTCTGTCAGTGTAACTCCGTGTAGCTGCACATTTAAATGTGCAGCTACACGGAGTTACACTGACATTGAAATATTGAAATATTGGAGGGATTAATTCCTCCAATATTTCAATATAAATAAAGAGGTGCAATTTCAACAGGGCGTCTCAGTTTTACTACATGATAAAGACATTCTGGTAGCTCATTTACCAGACTGTCCTGTAATTATAAAGCAGAAAGTTTTTGTTGTTTTATTTATTTTACTGTGGACACACTGTAAAAAAACAGGAATTCCTTTTATCAGCACTGAAAACCCAAAAAGAAAAAAGAAAAAAGAGAAAAAAATTAATAATCTGATGTAGTATGTAAGACTTTTAGTAGGAGGGCTTCATCAGCAGGACAAGCTGTAAAATTTATGAAAATACAGGTGTAAGTCCAGTGGGTCAAAGACATCCAGTGGGCCGGATTGGACTTTTTGCCAGGCTCTTCCAGGGCCTCGAGCCTTATGTTTGACACCCCTGTTCTAAATGCTCTGTTTGAATTAAAGATGCAATTTTCTTTTCTTTTTTTTTTTTAGTGTGAACTGCCGAGGAAGATTTTTGCTGATTACAAGCTTCTGAGAACTGAAAAAATAAACTTTTCCATCATTTGTGCTGCTACTGGACTGGTTCTTTTATAGCGCTTTTCTACTCATCTGAGCACTCAAAGCACTTTACACAACTTGTGCATTCACCCATTCACACCCAATGCACAAGCACATCATTCTAAGTGCTTTATAGCTAACATTCACACACATTCATACTCCAATGGATGCATCAGAGAGCAATTTTGGGTTAGTATCTTGCCCAAGGATATTTGGCATATAGACTAGGGGAAGCCAGGAATCGAACCACCAACCAGTGGATGACCTGCTCTACCACCTGAGCTACAACTGGAAGGAGGTACAGATTAAAATCTAAACTGAAAATAAATTGCTGTACACCCCCCTTTACGTGGCATATTTTACTTTACCAAACAACAGCAGGTACAATATATTTATTTAACAAAACTATATGAGTTGCTTTCATTACTACCCAGTTTGTTTTGAACTTCACAAGCCCTATCTGTTTTTCACTTGCCTTCATAATTTTCCTCATAATCGTTTTTAAGCTTTGACTGCTCATACAGACGCTGCTAGCTTGTACCTTCTCTGAGTTCTGTATTCCTTTAGCCACTTTGCCTTTTCTAGCTTCGTATGTTCAGCTGGGTGAAAGTGATTTAAGTGATTAGATTTGTTGTTAAACAAATCTAATGAGTTTCTAATCTAACTCAGTGATTAGATTTGTTGTTAAACAAATCTAATCAAACTGTGGTTATGAGTGTGCACTGCTTTACGTGTTCTCAGCCCAGTCAGTCACCAGTTTGGGCTGAGAACACTGAAAATCTTCCCATTTCGTGTGCATTTCTAATTTTAATAAGATCCCAAGTGTAAAAACTGAATTCATCTCATCAATTATCACTACGGTCTATGTTATAAACAACAACCAGGCCTGTCTACGTGTCATCCTGTGTACGTGTCCCACCAGCTTTAATAACCCTAATTCCAGAAAAAATAATTGATCTATCGGAAACTGCTAATTACTACTTACTACAGTATCATGGTACATAAAAACTACGGAAGTGCTTAATAATAAAACAAGCGAGCACAAAAAACAAAAAGCATCTTGAAAAAAAAAAAAGATTTAACAGACTCGCCTGTTTATACTTCAGATGCTCGGTCAGCAGCTGTTCCCTCTCAAGCTTGTGTTCCTCTATTAAAGTGACGACCTCAGTTTCATCCCGACTGTGCTTTACCTTTTCCACCACTTCAAGATATGAAAGCACCCTGATAACCTCTTCGGCGTTCTCTTTGTTTTCATGAGCAACCTGGACCTCTTTCCACCCTTTTGTTACATATTTGCTGATCAAGGCAATAGCTGAAAACACAAAGAGATAGGCGTTGCATGTTAGCACTGACTAAAGTGAAACAAAATAGAAACTTACACTGTACTGATTAAAATTCAGCATGGGGAGTTTATAAATATGCACATATATGCTCAGAACAGAGAACATCCAATAAACCCCCAAAGAAGAAAGTTGGATAACTGCAGACATTTATTCAACTGATTACTAATAACATTTTGCAGGCTAAATGACGTTTGTCTCTATACTTACCATCTCTAGCTGGTTTAGTGTGGGAGAGTCTGAGCAGATCCTGGTGTGACCAGCCCTCTCTCTGCTTACATTTGGTCACTGCAGCAGCTAGACTCATGGCATCTTGCTCATTGTACCAGTCAGACAGTGCTCTCCTCAGGGCACGCCCCCATATCCCACATTTCATGTGCTCTTTTAATTCCTTCTTGTACTTGATGAAAGAAAACAGATGGGCAGGCTCACGACAAACATCCTTCAGGGCTTTGAACGCTGCCTGTTTGGTGTTCACATCTGGGTTTTGGGAGCACAAAGCCAAGGCAAAAATGGAGGGCTCTAGTCTGACAGCTCGCCCATCCTGAGCGAACCTTTTTATTTCCTCCAACACCTCAGCGCCTCGTTTCTCCTCCAGCATGGACTGCAGGGCTCCAGTGTTCTCCACTCTGATGCGACCATTCTCTCTGGTACTGTACAAGTCTCCCTCTGAGCCATAGCAGAGGAAGCGACAAAGCTTGGCCTTGTCACTGATCTCCCATGAACCACCACCTGTTGAGTTCAGGGTATGGTTGCTAGTGGTACTTCCTGATAGCTCCATTGAAACACTTGAGGCGTCCTGAAAAAGATTGCAGTAAAACGAAGCAATTCTAAACTTTATAATGAAATGGCACTGTAATTTGATTGTGGTATTTTATCTTATAGTATAGTGGAAATGAAATAAAAGCTAACTACTAACACTAATGGGACGTAAAGCGTCCCCAGTGTTAATCAAACCATGGTTCGGATTTGACAGGATTGCGCAAGCGTTAATAAACCACCCAGCGTTTGCTAAGGTGGCGCTTAGCACACCTTACTTTGAACATAAATTATCCAGCTACGTTGTTAAAATGCACATTAAAATGTTTGAGTCCCTGCAACAACCTCTCCAGTTCAAGGCCAGCCAGCAAGCATGAAAATGTTAACTTCGCAAGCAAACATGACTTACTCATTGCCTCAGAGCGCTGTCAGAAATAGCTTAAAGCCGATTACAGAAGACGCATAAGACGGAGAAGACACGCTGGTCTGTTAACAGGAGATGGTACGAGAAGTTAACTGCACGTCATTTTAAGTTAGCTGCGGAATGAGCTAGTCAGCCTTAGCTAACACTCCCGGTAGAGATTCGTTTGCAAAGTTAACTAGTTAAGCTAGCAAAGGAGGGCGGTCTGGGCAAGGTGAATTAAGTTATGCGGTTTTAATCATTTAACAATAAAGTTAGGAATATGACAAGTCATGTAGCAACTCATAGCCAGACCAAGTCTCCTCAGTTTCCCCAGCCGTGACTTGACTGCATAGTAATGATATTAATGTTAGCCGTCAGCACAAAACTATCAACTCCCCAATCTGAGCTCCTCTTGGGCTGGGACACCGGAAAGCACTTTGATACAGCTAGTCCAGGATGAGCAGCTGGCTACTAACATACGCTAACCCTAACAAAACTGTGTTGGTTTTACTCAACACATATACTGTTTGCGAGTTGAAATAACATGACATAGATATCCACTTACCATCAGGTATGTACACAGTGCTCAGGTTTTTTGGGTTGTTTTTTTTTTTTAATGTAGCTAGATGTGGAAAGGCCTCCCCGCTGACCGTCAGTGAGATAACAGGGCGGTGCCGCGGTGGATGCCGGGATATGGAGTAAAATCACACAGGCACGTTCCCCCAGGGTTCTCTCGCTTTCTCTCCGTACGTTCACATTCACTTTTTTTTAGTGATTCACAATCCACTGAAAAAGACTTGAGCCACCTTTCATTTTTCTATATTTTTGCCAGTAAATGGGGAAATAAGTGCAGTGATTTATTGAAACATGCGCAAACATAGGTGGGAATGCACATGTACATATGTACAGTAAAAGGCAAAAACTATTCTATTGAGCTTCAAAGTCAATATTTGGTATGACCATCTTTATTTTTCAGCACGGCCTGAACTCTCTTTTACAAGTTTGTAATTTTTTCTTTAATGTCTTTAGGAGTAGTTCTCCAGGCTCCAGGTTCCAGGTTCCAGCCCCAAACTGTGACAGACACCATGGTTATTGGATGGGTATAAAAACTGTTGTACCTTTCTTCTAACCTCCTCTGTACATACTTACATTGATTTAAATCAAAAACTTTTGAATCATCAATCCATAAGACCTGTTTCAACAGGCTTTAAGCCCAGCGTTCTGATGAAATTTGACATAGCTCAGCTTTTTCTCCTTGTTTCAAATCTTCTTTCAGGCTGTTAGGAAATGTACTTGTTTTTCACTTTTATATTTAGTTTGTACAAAGCAAGAAATTCTAATGAAAATGTAGCATTTTCCTAACAGCCCAGTGTCAAGAAGTACCTTTGCCGGGATTCAGTGTATTTTGTATGGTGGAGTACATTCTGCAAACCCCGTCAGTGTTCATCACGGCCATTTCCATCTTTTTCACAAGATCCACTACCTTCTGTTCTTCTGCATTGTTCTCCTTAACATCATACCTACCAACACCTCCTCTTCACCTCCAAAACACAAGTTTTTCCTTCAAGATGACCCCTGCTCCCAGCGGACTAGAGTATTAGTAGCTCCTGGCCTTGCCCCCCTTTCACCTGGTCTCTACCTGTCCTTACATCCTTGCCTTTCCGTCTTTCTTGATGCCTCTGAACATGCCTTTCAACAGCATCAGAGGTTGTTGGTGTTGTCCACAGATCTGACTAATCTGGTATCGAAATGTTCTTCTCGATGATCTACATGTTTGACTTACTTAAGATATCACACAGGATGCGCTGTGTGATATCCATTGCCTTCCTATCATCATGAAGCAGTTTGGCAATTCTTCTCTGACCTCTAGCTCAAGCTGTTTTTACCCAGTGAACTCCTGCTTACTGGATATTTATATGGATATTGTGACAAAAAAGAGCTCAGTAACTTCCCACTTACAAATTAGACTGATTAGAGATGTTGAGACATTTAAAGGAACTCAATATACATAGTTAAGAGCATATTTAATAGTGACAAACATCTAAAATCTTCAAAATCTGAGAAGTAAAATTGCACGAATATTAAACCTTTTACAATTTTCTGCTCTAAGCTTGCATTTCATTTAAACTTACATAATTTCATCTTAAACAATTTTTACACTTTAGATTTTCTCTCCCCTCATGCAAGAACAAAAAGCATCAAAGAAACACTTTTGCAGCAAAAAGTTAAGTAAAAACAATAATTTCTGGAGATGCTTTTTCCCCCCCACACTTCAAAAAGAGAAAAGCAAAGGAACACATTATTTATAAAATTATCATGAATCAAAGTGCAATATTATAAATGATGTGGAGTTTGTTTTTTTTTTTCATTTTTAATGCATTTAAATTGTGAATCTTTGCAAAAAAAAAGAAAAAAGGAGCAGGTCAACTAGATATATACATATTTTGGTAAAAATGTGTGATCGTGTGCAATTAAGAGCTATTATAGACAGAAATGGGCAGTGTTGGAATTTAAAAATATAATCTGAAACCTTATCTGCTATTATATTGTTTTCTGGATAAGAGAGGCCCAACTCTTAGTACAGTTTGTGCTGACAGGACTGACAGGAAATTACATGCTTTTGCAGAAAGAATGAAGTGAAAGTGAAACCAAACTGTTTGATCGAAACTTAAAGTGTGGTATGACGCAGAGAGCAAGTATATAAATGACTAGGCTTCCTGTTGTGTGCTTCAGACCTGAGCTTGTGTGTTCGAGTGTTCAGGTCTCCATATCCAGGATATGTTAATTAAAGATCATTTTTAAAGTAAAAGGACCACTTTTGAGCCGTGTCTTTCTTGGCCCTAAGAATCCAAAGAACCAGAATTAACAGCAGTAATGCGTTACTGTAATCCGATTAAAATATTCTACTTATT